TTTTTACAATTCTGTATTTGGATTTTACATACTATCAGCAACGTACTTTTCGGAGTTCATAATTTTGTAGTAAACCACAGTGTAAATTTTGAATATTTATAACAAAACTAAAATTAATAACTTCTTGTTAAACCTAAATTCAATAATGTCATCTCAAAATTTTTGTTTGAAATATGAAGCATACCTTTAGTTTAATAATTCACTCATATTTTGACTTTGACATATAGGGTTTATCATAGAAATATTAAATTTGTGATATAAAATTTATCTAAGAAATTGGACTTATCCAATTTATTGTATTGCAAGGGAGAGAAGACCTCTATCGAAATAACTTTGCTCCAAATTTTTGTATACAGTGCATGTTTTTTAAAAGTGGCTATAGGGATTCCCATCTTAAATTCTTTACTCCATGTAAACTTACGTTTGAGTAAAAATTTAGAGTTGAATTTTTACCGGATGTAATTTGGGACATCTTTTGTATGTAGATGTTATTAAAGGTTATGCTTTAAAATAAAGGGTATTTCTTAAAAAAAAATTAAATGATTTGGATATTTTGTCGGTAATATTGTAGACAGTCGTGTAAAAACGGACATTTATATGACGTTTGTCAAATGTGATTATTCGTTTGATTACAGGTTTTTAGTGATCAAAATTCGTCGCAGTACGCATTTAAAGAAAAAATGGAATGCCCACTGATGGCTACGTTAAAGGCTTATCAACAACAGAGAAATTGCGCAAAATTTTGCTGCAGCATTCTGAGATCGTCCCATACCCGGTAAGAGCATAATTTAAAAATTTTATGCCAGATTTATAAACACAGGTTTTCTCGATCGTGGACATCAAAAACGGAATTTCAGTGAAATTATCTTGTGTTTGACTTTTCTAAAAACTGCAGTAAAGGTATTTTTCTACCGCGCACGTTTTTCGATTTTCTAATAGAGATATTAAAGCACCCAAATGACGTCAAAGCGGTTCATTAATGTCCGAAAGTGGTTCTGAAATAGTTCTGGTGTAATTTAGATCGGTAAGATTGGTAGCCATGACGAGAAATGTCAGGTGAATGTCATTGCCAAATGTCAAATTAAAATTTCCCGTATTTCGGGATGCGTAAGGACTTCACTAACTTCATTTTAACTAATTTTAACTTACAGAAACTCGAATTGATTCGAATTACAGTTGTTGTGAAAATTCGAACTTCAAATATTTCGTGGTTCGTGTCAGATCAACGCATCACCAACCACAACAAAATGCCCCAGATTTAAAAAAACGCAAATTTCAATAAAATTTTGCCAAAACACGTGCGCCGTAGAAAAAATAGTATAAATAACTCGTTCATAGGGCCATTGTGGCACTCATCCTTTACATAACTTGCGGCTTCGCCGCTCGTTCTACAAACTTGGATTCGTGCCTTAATATTTGCTTTATGAAACTTGTTCTTTAATATACTATTAATGATTAAATAAAAAATATGGTGTCAAAAATGGTAACATCAAGTCTGTTCCATCTTCCTTATGGAGTTTTTGCATACCAAGAATTCCCTGTTCATTATCTGATGACGCCGGAGAAACCTTTTCAGATCCTCAGGACATTGTGAATGCGTTTGCTAGAACTTTTTCCAACGTATTTACCTCTAGAAGAAATTGTGTCCTCACTGGATCTTCGTCTTACGCCTACAACAATTGTTTATCTATGCCCGATGTCACTCCGGAGGATTTGATTACAACTATGGCAAAACCAGTACGTTTCTGGATCGTTGGAAAATCGCTAGAATAAGTCCAATCTTTTAAAATGGGGATTCATCGTTACTAAGTAATTATCGATCTATTTCCATCTTGAACAACTTCGCTAAGATTTTCGAACTTGTGTTGTATAACTTTATCTTCAGTAAGTTGTCTTCAGTTATTAGTTCTGGGCATCACGGTTTTAGGACCGGGGTTAAACTCATACGCCTCAAAATGACAATTTGCAACGTGCAAATTAAGTATCAATCCCCTTATCGTTTAGCAGGATTAAGTAACTAAAGAAATTGACTTAGTGGGAATTCTAAGTAGATAATAATTTAAAACATAAAAACATGTTCTTAAATTATTTTCGTATTTTTAAATAAAACGACTATATCATATAATAACAATTTATTTATTTATAAATAAATAAATAAATAAATAAATAAATGAATAACTTTATTAGTACGTAGTTACAAAATCTGTTTCGTACAAGTCATATCATTATCTCTAGCTGTGAACAACTCACAGTTTGTTTATACCTTCATCTACAAGATAATCTTCTATGTTATAATATGATTTTTTGACTAGATATTCTTTGATTTTTATTTTAAGATTTGGCATATTAAGCTTTTTAATAAACATTGACAGTTTATTAAATAATTTTACATGAAAACAATTTACACTATTTTGATTTTTACTTCCCGAGCGTAAGCGAAGGAAGTATTTTAATCGAGTCCGTGGGCCGACTCTCTACTTCTACGTTTTCTCGACCTTTGATGATCCCTAGAAAACGAAGAAACAGGTCGCCCGTTTCCATTCGCCTGTTTGTCTGTCTGTCTGTCTGTCCGTCTGTCTGCCGTCCCGATTTTTATTAGGCAGATAATCTCCGAAAGTATTGGGCCGATTATTGTCAAATTTTGCATATATATTAGGAATAACATATAGATGGTAAAACGCTACCCAAAATTTGTTTAATCATCCTCACCAATAATGTGATGACGTCACCTCAAAATTGTACATAGTAAATGGATTTTAAATTGTATAAAATAATATTATAATAACAAATCTTGGAGATGGTTTAAAGTGATGATAAGCACGATATGTGTTTAATCAAAATATATTTACTTATCCCCTCCAAATTCTATCTAAATTGTACAAAATATGATGAGTTTGTACATGTGATTTATCATTCCATTTATATTTTTTTGATCTGTTTATACAGGGTGACTCAAAAGAATAAATGAATGCGTGAATTTATTTTATTGATTTAATCAGGAACTACAAAACCGAATGCATAATAAGCATGGTAAATTGTTGATCAAAATGTATTTGCTCAGCCCCCCTAAAAAATTGATGACGTCACACCAAAATTTTGATGTGTAAATGAAAAAAATAATCACCGAGTCAATTTATTTTATTGATTAAATCAAGATTTGCAAAACTGAATACTTTGAAATCTCGACGTTTGAAGTTATTGGAACCATGGTATCTTTTTAATCAAAAGGTATCTGTTTATCAACCCCAAAAAATTTATTACGTCATCTCAAAATTTTGCAAAATGTGCAAAATATAATCAGTCTATCTATACTTGTAATTTATCATTGCGTTAATAATTTTAAATTTGCTTTTACAAGGTGACTCAAAAAAATCAATGAATCACTCATTTTATTATTGATCAAATTAAGAACGAGCCAAGGTAAGAATTATAATAATAACATTAAGAATATTTTGTTCAATTGAGACTTATTAATAATAATGTTAGTCATCTATTTAGAGGCGATAAACTCATTCAAATAAAACAAATGTCTTCGTGACATTGTTCCGATGTATAAACACAAACATTTTAAACATTGCTAATGTGCTGTGAATATATTTTACCGGTTTCTGTCTATTAAATGCCTGTTGACATTTATAAAATTTGGCTGGTAGAAAAGCCATAACTGTCTCCTGTATGTAAAATCGGTATGGTAATTGTCAACATTTGTCAACGAATTGAAAACAATGCCGAAAATGTCTTTATGTAGTGTTACGATGTTATGAAAATGTGAATAATCAAAAAAATGTTCTTTTTCAAGATTTTCACAAAAAAACGAAGTTGCTTTTAGGAGCTTCAAAACTTGGTACATAAGTTAAATTGTCGTTATCTACTTTGCACGTATTTAATAATAATGATTCATAAGTATTGTTTGTATTGTGGAAATTCTCGAATAGATATAAAAACGCTCTCATTTTATTTGAATGCGTCCTTAATTTAGAAAGAGGTAATATTAAACCAAAAACATTTAGTAAACAGGAAGTTAAAAACAGAAGCTTCAAGAGAAACGACATTTTGAAATAAAGAATGACTATAAATAATAAGTATAATCCAAAATTTAGTTTGAATCACTGCGAACTTTTTGGCGTTATACAAAGAAAATGTGTCGAGCTACTTGTTCAAAAATGGTCGAAATGCGTTCTGGATACTGTGTGTTTTGTTTCAAGAGTATATAAGTGTCCAGATAAGTGGTCATAAAATGATTGACAGTGTAATACCTTCAAAATTTATTTTTAAATACGCTTTCATAAAAAATATATTCTGTCTATATCTCCTTTCCATTTTAAAAATTTTGTAATAGCAATATTTCTACTACACTTTTAAGTTTAAAACAATGCACAGTTACGCTACACAGGTAAGTCGGAAAAGCCAATATAAACAGTGTGCAGTAGATATGCGGGGAAGTGGCATAGGTAGGTACAATGTATGCGGCCCGTTTTAAAATGGGGTCGAATATATATTTTTTGTTGTTATAGTTAGTATCTATAGTGTGAGGTCTGTTGTACTGTCACAGTTTAGTTACTAATACGAACTATAAAATGATTTTTTTAGGGTGGAATTTTACGGCAACATTAAAATGTTATGTTGTAAATTCTGTCAAAACTATTTCGGATATAATTTTAAATTTATCAGATTTGGCGAAAACCTAAAGCCCTCCCACGGCACCATTTTCAGAGCGAGCCCACCGCGTCACTAATCATATCTAGGCCATCAAAACACATGCAAAAACGTATCCCGTGGGCGTCACAACAACAACATCACTCCCGACTCCCAGACCGTCCATTCCTCTCGTTTCCTCCGCACGCCATCATCATCATCCCCGTTCTCTCTCCCATCAATTATCTTCTCTCGATCTCGCGAATTTCGTCCCGATTAATCTCAACTTCCCGTCGTCATCTCTGACTCTATCGATTTCCCGGAACGTGCGTACAACGGCCAACGTGTAAACAATAAACAAATACCTCGACGCTGTTATTGCTACTGGTTGTATTGCTTCCATTTTCTTGGGAGGTCGAGGCGAACTTCGTCGTCCCCAGCGCCCGCTCCTTGGCGGCCTTAGCCCACGACTCCAACCTCTTGTGCGTCACCCAGCAGCCGGCAGGACCCATTCCGGACATCGTTCAACACATCGGACATCACGGACTGAGGCCGGAATTTTTGAGTGGCTGGCTCCGGTCGTTCCGGGCACAGGTCGGGCGGACGCGTTCCGACATACTGAAAGCTCGTCTCGGCGGTCTGTTTCTCCCGGGCTCAACAGGTTGAGGGCTTGAGCGCTTTCGGAAGCTACGACCTACGGCCGACACGGCGGAAGCTTTTGGGACAGGACCGGAGTCGCGGCGATCTACACACCAACGAGGATCGAGCCGAAAGAAATCCGAAAATTGCATTGTGTTGTTGAAAGAAAAAGATAAAATGTTAAAATTGTATGAAAATGAAGTTCTAACTGTAAGAACCAGAAAAATTTTGGTAAGATGTCTCTGTTTATTACTTATTACAACTTCACTGAAACTTCTCAAAGTGAGATTCAACTGCATTAAGATGCCAACATTACTGATTTGTTACGAACTTCTTCAGGTTATCTGTCAAGTTAGTTTTTAATGTTAAACGTATTGAAATCTTTGGTTGCGCTGAGACAAATATTCTTGTATTTACATTTTTTTCTGTCAAAGTATTTTCAAAAATATAATTTTTCTACTTCCTTACTTTGATTGATATTACATATCCACTATATGTATTTTAATGAGGTCTTTAAGGTCTAAGTTCTTAACTAATATAAATGCAGATTATGCCCTTATATTACAGGTTGCCATCGGAGGCAACAGGTGAAGTATTTACCATTCAATTCGGTGAAAATGTCCTATAATATGAGCGATACCGAAAATTTAACGCCACCTAAAATAATTGAAGAGCCACCAGAATGACAATTGATTTTGAATTATCCCTTTTAGTCACAATTAAAAATATTAAGATGAAATAACACGAAAATTCACACTTACGGGAAAGTATTAATGAATATGCAAGAAGCACATAAATCTTCGCTCAGAAAACTGTAGAATCCCATATTTCTTTATCAATTCATCAACTGAAAATGCACAGATCAAATCGTTGGAATAAACAAGTTTGGAAATATTAAATCTTTCGAATTCCAGTTTATACACCGGACACTGCTTTCGGTGTAGTTTTATTACAATATTAATTGATACTGATGGTGACAGAACATCACGGTAGATGAAAATTCATAATCATAACAATGGTTGAAAATTACACTGACGATTCATTTGAAAATAAGATCAACGAAGGAAATTCAATTTTGAATTCGATTGAATGCTGTCAAACCAACGACTGTAAACATTGTTCCAACGACATCAACATTGTTATCTACAAAACTGCCAAGCCAACTGCATTTTAATACTTGCACCTTCAAGAAGCGATTACCTGTTAAATGGAATAATCTTTTATTTTTCTGTTAAACTTTGATTTTTTGACATTTCTGTTTATATCATTGTTTCATATGCTAATTATTATGATAGTTTTTATTTAATAGATATTTAGACACTGACTACTAATAATATAAATGATTATAGGGTCGAATTAGCTCATGAATAAGTGCCGCCTCTCAGATTTGAACTTTACTAAATGCTCAAGGGCGTATGACATAGACCATACGCATCTCCATAACTGGTTGCCTAAATGTTTTATATTTTATTAAAAAATAAAACTAATTCATTACAATAAAACGAAACAAAATTATTGCTGTTAAACATAACAGTAAATGTTGAAAATGTTCAGCATTTTGTGCAGAGGACATTGTCACTCTCTTTTTCGTTTCAAAAATGTTCTGTAATAGTTTCGTCAATACCCGTTGTTCAATTTCATGTTGCAACAGGCACTCCTGACTGCTAAGGAAATCTTGTCAAAGATGTTTGCGGATTCTGCTCAAGTCGTCTCAAATCATCAACAACTTCCTGAGATACTGAAGGTTTTCCAGGGGATCTCTCCTTGTTGACACGCCCAGTTTTAACGATGTTTCTTGAATTATTAAATCACGGTATTTGGTCAGATATTCTTGCTTACAAGCGGTAACAGAAAACACCCACTCTTTGTTTACTAATGTCTCATTGCGATAACAAGACAACAATAAAAATGTTTTGTTCAATTACTGTTTTTTAAAATTATTAGAGAGTCAAATATATATTGTTAGTTTCTATACAAATCTATTTTGACTCATCAAAATTAATTATTTAACTAGCAGAATAAAATACTTAATTAGTTCTGTATTTATGCAAAAAAAAAGTCAAGAATGCCCCTGGGTTTTAATTTTTGTAATGTAATGTGTTAGGGTAATTAGAGTACAAACATTTTTCACCAAAACCCCTTGAAACTGCTTTAGAGATTAGAATGTTATCAAGATAACAGTAAACAAACTCTGAAAGGTAAATAAGAAATACCGACTGCTGGGGCAAAAACCTTTGCAGACAAGTTAAATTTAGCTGTTGATGAAAACAAACAACCAAAGCAAGAGCAGGATAACTCAGATTGGTCTAGTCAAGTAAATTCTCAACGAAAGAAGCGAGTAATTGAATACAAAAAGATTGTCACCAGTGAGAAATCACAATACAAGTCGGATACTTAAGTAAATATTCCAAGATTGAATGATATTCATTACTAATAATTTATTTCACTGTTGTTTCCTCACAAATTTAATTATATTTTTGTTTTGTAATAACGTAAGCAAACATTGTAAAACTAATAACATAAATTTAAAATATTAACGGTATGATTTTCTGGATTCTTTAATAGATTTTAAAACTATTAACAGTATTATCCTAGTCATGGATTAGGTATAAAGAGTCTTCACAGCAACAGGAAAATTTTTCGTCAGGTTAGAAGCTGCAGTACTAAAATATATGTTAAAATCATCACATGATATATCGCATTTACTATTTATTTTTGTTTTATGACCAGAGAATTTATTGGTGCTATCATTAATAATAATTCGCCACATGACTTTAGTTTTATTATTAGCCATATCAATATTTTTTATTTGACAATATAACTTCCAACTACCGTTTCTTGTTTTTCTTGTTTTGTCAGAATCTATAAATTTATCCAAATTATCTAGAAAATAGAGAGCATCTCCCATGGATTTTAAATCATTATCAAACCATTTGAATTTATTTTTAAAGTTTATAGTTTTTTCAGGAAAAGCAAGAATCATACTATTTCATATAATTTATATAAATGTACTAAATTTAGTGTAAACATCAATTTTCTGCCTCTCAAAAAATCTCCAGTCACTTTTTGAAAGTAACTTAAACAATATGTTTTCCCAAGGATTGTTATTGTTCTATGCTTTTTTACTAAGTCAATGTTTAGTGAATTACTTTGTAAAGTGGACATTTCAAATTTTATAAGATAATGTTAAAATCTAATGGGCTAGGTTTTCAATAATAATCAATATTAATATTTGTGAAAATATTATCTAATAGTTCAACTTTCTTGTGGGAAAATGTACGAGTTCTAAGTATTAGATTATAACAATTATCACGAAGAAAATTTGCATTAAATTCACCAAATCACTCGCAATTAAGATATTGCTTTTCGACACATTTATGTGATTAATAAGTACCATAGAATACCAAGATTGGTGAAAAAAATCTCCAGTTCACCCAATGGTGGCCCACAAATATTGCTAAAGAAATATTACCTACTATCTGTCACTATTAATGCGTAATATTTTATAATACGCAGTATCAGTGTATCAATATGTATAGTTTTTGTGAAATGGGGAAAAATGATGAAAGAATGCTTAAAAATTCATTAAATTCCCAAATGTAAAGAGAATTATAATATATTAACTGCCTGGTGGCTTGAGGCGCATGAGAGCCTTTTGTGAGGAAAATGTTTCCAGGCAACAATTTCGAATTAGTCAGTGTTCTCGAGGAGGAAATCTTGTTTACTTAACTAATTTATTTGTAGCTAAAAAAAGTATTAAATATTTCATTATTCGTGAATATTTTACTGAAATTATGTGGCTAAAATAACTGCTTTGGGAATGCTTTTTTAATGAATAAAACGAAAATCGTTAGCTATGCGATGCCTCAAAACAAAAAAAAGATACAATTTATTGAGTGGAACTCGAAAACAGACAATGGTTAGTTTTTTAATCAAAATATTATAATTTATAATACATATACATAGATACATACATAAGGTGTCACAAATATACTTTGTAACTGACGAGTTCATACAACGTCATCTTATGTCCAATTATAGAGATTAGTTAGGTCAATTAAATTAAATTAAATTACTTCAATACTGTAACTTTATTAAATATACATCACAAAAAAATTCAACGTTTTCTTTTCACTTAGGACATGCCGCAAAAGTTCGAAATGTTAACAGCTTCAACACATTCGTGTGTGCCGAACGCAATGTAAATTTTTAGAAGTCGTTTCATCTCTTTTCTATTCATCCTGTTGTAAACGAGCTTCTTAAAATTCTGTTCAAGTCGGGATAACCAAAAGCCCATGAATCAAACGAGTTTCTTGCAGATCGTTTATTATTTTGACGAAGATGCAAGAAATTGCGTTGAATTTTGTATGGAATTTGAGTATGAATGAATTTTTATGGTGTGATGGTCGCGATTCGTCGTTACCGTATAGCACATAAAAAATCGTTTTTTAGTTGGAATATTCGTGAATTTGATTGTTGCAAGTACGTAAAAACTGCTCTAAAGTTAATTGAATAATATATCACACGATTACAAGCACATATTGTACACATTTAAAATAGGTTTTCAAATATTTATTTGCATTATGGTAAAAATAGAGGTGTATGAATAACTCACAGGTTTGGACGCATATTATTTTTATTTATTTTAAATAGGCATTTATATAACAAAATTTTGTGATGACGTCATCGGATTTTTGGTGAGGAGGGTCGGATAAATTTAGGTTGGTATTATATACCAGCTACACAATATTCTCAAAATACACTATCCAGTAGTTTCGGAGATTATCTGTTTCGTAATTTCAAAAAGTTTCCAACAGATAATAGGCGGTAGAAAGCCTAAAATTAATCATTCCCCAAATGGACCTTATTACAAATTAAATTTGAATTATAATTAAGACAGGTTTAGATTCAGTAGTTTTCAAGAAACAGATCCCGAAGAATCTTAAAGGTACTATACGTTGTACACAATTAGCATCACATATACATATTTATACATATATAAAATTGATATTTTAGTCGCTGTAAATCCGGACTAAACTGGCTCTTTTTCATCCTAGGTATAAAAAGTGTTTCCATAACAACCAAACACTTTTTAACTTAAAGTGGTAATATAAAC